AATGCAAGCAAACACCAACAGCAGTTGATTAAATACTCAATAGCTGGCAATTGGCAGTGTGACTAAGTCGTGTTTTCAGGTTGAATTGCTAAACGTTTCGGTTACACGCACTAACGTGATAAGAAAGTCTACATAAGAGTACGGTAAAGTGGTTGATCTTTGCCCATGTAGTTTCAGATAATGTTTTTAGACGCAAACGTGTTCGTTTCTATGACACCTTATTATGACGAGAACAGACACCGATGATGTGCAAACACATTCAGTGGTATTGGCTCCCCATCCCGGCGAGTAACATCGAAATATTCTACACTACTGTCTCAGCGAAGATTTATTTCAATCTAAGTTGCGACCTATGCGTACTGCAGTCCAGACGCTCGATGAAATTTCCAAAGTGAAAAACACAATATGAGATAAACGATACTTATTATTACTCATGACTCAACGCCAGCTCGTCGCTGTACAAGTTCAGCAGACGAGGTTATGCCATTCTGGAAAATCATCAGATGGAAACCAATCGGAAGTACACCAACCATCCAGGATCCGTCGTCCACGCCGAAGAGCACGTGAGATGTCATCATTATCAATATACACGTTAGCTAGAGGTGGGAAGCACCTCAGCTACTGTGCCGCAATAGATAAAACGAAAAAAATGCAACAGATGTAAGCCAGCTGAGCTACCGGTAACGGATGGACATCGTTCCGGTAAGCTACCAGCCAGTTAATATGCAACAAAAAAGATGCTATGCAAAAGTATATAAGGCTAAGTAGTGAGATCGTGGTTAGGGAGGGGAAACTAAGAGGGATGAGATGGACAAAGAAACTCAAAGCACGAACGCGATTGAGGTCGGCTCCTGGCCATGTCAGCAAGTGGATCTAACCAAACGTGTTCATCGTCTTTTGGTCCCAACCAGGGAGCCGAGACGCTCCAACCGAGGCCAGCTTCGAAGTGAGGGGCTTCATTCATTTCGACCAAGTCATTACTTGGTCACATCTCCTCTTCTTCCGTCCACACCCTCAGCGCGTAAACAACGCACGTCGCGAGAGTCGGCATGCGTAGCTCAGCCATCGGAGCTTGGTGCGTGAAATAACGGTGCTGAGCGGTTCATTTCCTTTTCCTGTGCCGTAAACAAGGCGTCGAGCACCCCTTTACTCACTCGGTGTTCCCACCAGATATGAGCCAAATTGCGAAGGCACCGGTGGTCGAACGCAACTAGTCTCTTTATGTCCACTGATCTAAAGGGCCAGATTTCACAATCGTACAGTAGGGTCGAACGTAGCGCCGCATTGTACACTTCAAGTAATATGTAGTAGGGTAGAAATGAACACTTTCAAACTAAAGCACTTCTAGCTTCCCCACTGGCACATAATTATGATGTTCGTCTACGTGTCCAATATGTCTAATGAGTCATAGTATCAGGGAGTCACATATTCATATAATTACCTTTAAAAGGACTGATATCACCATTCTTTCCGGAGACTTTAACGCGAGCACCACCTTGGGAATAGTTTTGGCTTCGGTAGTAGTGGATCAGACAATGGAGACAGGCTGCTTGCTCCTTGCTCTGATCTTCGCTTGTTTCTTTCGAGCAATAGTTTCGACACTGGAAAAGACAGAATGTTACCTGGCGGCCCACCACAAAAACTCAAGTGTTCCCAGCTTAAGCACATAGTAATCACTTACAGATGGCGCGGGAGCGTAACGGGCTTCCGATCGTACTGGTCTTTTCTGTACTGCGGCCGCGCATTGGTTCATGCTAAGATTTGCATATGCATTCACTACTGACCGAAGGTCGCAAAGCTACAAAACCCTGTGATCTTAACCAAGTACCAAGTCTCACCGTTAACATTGCTTGCCTCAAGTTCTGACGGTGACACCGATTCGCAGTGGGAAAGAATCAAAGATGTCTTAGTTTCCGCCAATATCGACACTTGTGGAGTCAACCGTGAACCACTGAAGAATTGGATTTCTGCCGTCTCCTTGTCGCTGATGGACAAACCCCACTTGATCCCGTCTGATCCCAGCAATACTGAATAATGCCAATCCCTGCGACCAGAGTTGCGCAGGAGTCTGCAAACGGACCGAGAAGCTTGGTGGTGTGAACACGCTAGAGAGCTGGAACTTACAAGTCTCTGGTAATACCAGAAAACTTTTTCATCTTATCCGAGTCACCAAAGGTGTTCGATCTGGTATAAGTGAAACAAAATAAGAAGTGGATGTCACCTTAATCATCAATGTTCAACGACGACTGGACCGATGGGCTGAACAGTTTAGCTCGCGGTTTTGTTGGCCTCCAGCTACATCTGCTTCCTCTGGCACTGTTACAGAATGGTCTATCCCCACAGATCCATCCTCTAACTAGGAAGTTGAGCAGCAGCTCCACCATATGAAGCGTTATAAAGCCCCCAACCCTGATGGTCTTCCTCCAGCTCTATTTAAAGACGGCGAAGATTCACTGGTGCGAGAACTCATAGCGTTGTTCTCGAAAGTTTGGTCGGATGAGGAAATTCCACCATCTTGGGCTGAATCGACAGTCGTCCCCATCATCAAAAAGGGTCTGCGCACAGTGTTCTCCAAGTACAGAGACATAAGCTTAGCTTTCGTCATTTGCAAGTCTTTGGTGTCCGTCATACGTCGTAGGGTATCCAAGACGCGCGAATCGCTGAACTGAGAAGAACAAGTTGGGTTTCTCCTTGGTCCCGGCTGTATCGAGCAAATTTTCACACTCCGCCAGATCCCCGAGCTCCGCCATGTGTTTGAAAGGCCAATGATTTTTGTGTTCTTGGATACCCGTGCAGCCTTCGATTCTGTCAATAGGACGGTAATGTGGCACAGACTGCTGAGGAATGGCGTTCCCGGAAGTTCGTCTCCAGACTGCGCACTCTCTATAATCTGACCTCGGGCAGAGTTAGGGCTTTTGGCAAGCTCTCACGTTCCTTTGTGGTCTCCAGTGGGGTACAAGGATGCCCTATCTCTCCGTTCCTATTCAATTTTGACATTGAGGATGTCCTCAAGAATGCGCTGGGCGATTCGTTGAACACTGGCGTAGAAGTCCTTCTAGGTAGTCGAATTGATGATTTGGACTATGCTGATGATATTGTATTGCTGGGTAACGATCCACAGGCCGTCCAACTTGCACTAAACCAATTGGGGATTGAAGCATCAAAGTATGGTATGTACTTTTCGCCATTAAAATGCAAGGCTCACTTCCAAGACTGGAAGGCGTCTGTGCCTGCACTCTTGGTGGTGAAACACTAGAGGTTGTGAAGAGCTTTGTCTACTTGGGAATTTGCATCACTGCTGGCGGGGCTGTTGGATACGAGATTTCGATGCGTATCTCCAAAGCACGCCTCGCTTTTTCTAGGCTGACGCACTTGCGGCGTCGCCACCACATTCGTCTCTCCGTCAAAGAGCGGGTCTATTGTGCAACGGTTCGGGCTGTACCGTTGTACGGATGCGAGACCTGGTCCATTCGTACCGTTGACTTGCGCAGAATATCCGTCTTGGAGTACCGCTGTCAAAAGCCATTTCCCGTGTGTGGTGGCCGCACCAGGTAAGCAATATGGAAGTTAGTGTGTCTTGGGACGATGGAGCCACTCGCTCGAGGAGCTCGTCTCACTACATCAACTGCGGTGGCTGGGACATGTATTGCACCTGTCTGTTCAGCGTTACCCGTGTTGGGCGTTGTTCACGGTTGCTGCACAGGGCTAGAAGAGACGGTCGTGTTGACAGCCTACAACTTAAAAAAGCCGCATGAAAAAGCTGATGAAACAGTTGATGTTGGCCGATTGTCGACTGCCAGTTTGGGGTCAAGAAATGCGGATAATTGCTGGTTGGAGAGCTTGGAAGCCATTGCTCGAGATCGACGTCAGTGGCTGAGGTGTGTTGCGGTGACCCCTATCCTCCACCTAAAACAAACTCTGAGTGGTAAACGGGACAAAAACTGCCGTTGTTTTTTTTGTTCTTATGCTGTTTTCCTACTTCGCCATGATTCCGATGGCACAATATCTGTGTTACAGATAGTTTTTGTGCAAAGTGTAACATACTCAACCGGTTGCCATATGGTCACCACAAGATCAAGGATCTCTTTTTCATTCAATGCATTGTGTATTGTAACAGGAAAGGAACTTGAGAGCAACTTTTTAGCTATTATCCTCACTCCGTCGCTTCGGATTTAAATACTTGCTGACATCAGAACATGCACCGACTCAGCATGAGAATACCGCTATTCACAGAACCGAGCTGTAAACCATGTTGGCTCCAATTTTTTTTGTAAACAAACACTTCTATCGCAATCAATGTTCAAATGTGTGCCTGCTGATCTAATAATCATAACTGTGACAGATGAGATAGTTCGTAGGCAGATAAAGGTTTGTGTTGCTCGGTACCAAATGTGCCCTCCTTAATGACCTGCTTCGTACGTGCCCACACTCTTCAGGTTGAGGTAAACAAGGTGGGAATCGTACTATAAGCACAGCCATCGGCAGCTGACATGTGTGCTCTCGAACCACCGAGATTCGCGAAGAGCGCCAGCCACAACGGTCGTAAAATAATCATTGGTTCTATTTGTAATGACCGTTGTGCGGATGGACTGCAAGATACAGTTTCAATCGTACTCTACATGGTCCCAGTGACTGCAGTAACTGAGGCCCACCTCGAACTGTATCACGGTCCCAATAAAAAACTGAATGCCACAAAACAAGCTACTAATCCAAGCTGAACGTCCAAGAGCAACACATTGTCAATGAAGAGCAAGAAGACTGTCAGCAATATCGAAAATGTTTAGCCACTAAAATAAGAATTTTATGGCGACGACGTAGTCCCTCCTCTGGACGGCCTCAGAATGGATGTTGAGAGAGCTTATAAATGATCTTTTGTTTAACTTACCACCGTGAACTTACTACCGTGAACACATTATAGAAATGACCTGTTTGTCATGTAAGGTTTTGATTTCCACAACATAGAGGAACACCAAGACAAAAAAGGTGAAAGAGAAACCTACCATCAGGTTGGCGATTAGATGTGGCGACGACAACTGCACCGCGTAGGAACATGTGTTCAAAGAGGTACCTTAATATCATTGCATCGGCAATGTCGGTAACCTGAAACGAAAGGACATTTTATCTTTGCAACCAGAATGAATAAGTTAGGAATCGCGCTTGCAACAACAGCGATATCTCACTAGTAGAGTTCAAGCATATGCAGCTGTGAATCAACAAGTAGTTGTAATTATTTGATGGAAAACATACGTGCATGTGTATCATGAGTTACGTTGAAAATTTGTAAGTTGTAGGGGGATTTATTAGGTTTTTGTGTAGTTTCGTCGCAGTTAGACACAGGCAGACAGCCACCACACATCCAGGAAAACGCCAGACGGCCGTTTCGTCCTAATGGGACTCGTCAGTAGCGCGCACCCGCCCAATCCTGCCGGATTCGAACCCACGACCTTACTCTTGCGAGTCAGCGTCTTACGTCACTGACCCATGGGCGACGGCAGCGGACCGCCATGACTAGTATCTAACTGCGATATAGTGCGGCTCATCCTCCACTGTCTTGCCTAAGCTCTAATCATTCAAAAAAGAAACATTTGCCATAGGTCAAAAATAAAATCAACTTGTGGGTCATATACCTACTGACACCTACGGTGGGTTGGAACAGAACACCAAATGAAGTGATCAAGGCAAATAATGATTCGTAACGAAATGAACTGTTCGGCCTATTAAAGTAATTTGCGTGATCCGTCTTCGCCTGTTAGACGAAGCACTAATTGCTCAATGTAGCTGGTTACACTTATGCGTCTCAGATAAAGACAACTTTAGGTACCAGAATTGCGACCCTCTAATGATCAAGAGTTAAAGTTAAAATTCAAAAGAAAGGAACTCAGAAGGGTTTTAAAGACGATCAGGTGATGTTATGTGTGAGCGAGATTAGTGAGATCGAATCAAAGTGAAATATCGGTACTTAGTACCCCTTGTCTGTACGCGCAAAAGAGGTCCAAAGACTGTCCGTATTCGCACGTTATTGGTATTGGCTGCTTGCTGCTAAACAATGATGTAGGGCAAGGAATTTGCATGACACACACACACAGAAGGCAACCCAGTTTATTAAATTCCATGCACATATGCCTCGCAATCCCGCACCGCCACTACTTGCTGTCTCTCTTTAATTGCACGGGCGTGGTCTGTAAGCAGTGGCGCTGTACCAAGTGATGGCGTGCAATTATTAATTGCAATGTATATTTCTTCAAATCGCAAGCTACAGTCCAACTATTTGGACGGATCAGTTAGTATAACATGTTTGCAATGATTCGGAATACCTGTAGCTCGGGTTCGTAATTAACGTTTTGAATCGTTCTCCGAGCTGAGTAACTTAATGTCAAACGTTTCACCACTTCCCTCAGTGGCATCTTCAGTGTAAAGCTCCGCAGGGGAAATCTCACGGAAAATGATTTTCCGTGAGATATACTACAGTTGACGATGATGGTTATTGTCTAGACTTGCTTTGCTACTTTGACTGTATACTGCAATCCCAGAACAACGGTTATTATCATTTGGATACTATTAATAAGTAGTTCGTAAATGATTACGTTTCGGGCTACTTGAAGTGGCGTGCGCAAAGCAAAACTAACAATTTCGCTCAATAAAACAAGGGATTCTTTGGGACGTCCGCCTTTAGACTCGAAAATGAACCATGCATAGCTGAAATCAAAAGCGCAGGGAGAGGAGATGAAGTAGAGAGTTCGCCATATCGGCGGTACAGCACAATTGCCAAGATGCAAGAACCCTTGGGCACGCCGCGGATTTCATATGCAGTAGCTTTAGAAAAACCCACAGGATGGCAAATGCAAGCAAAAGCAGTGTTTCGACTTGGAAACTAAAATATCGGTAGCGTAGATATTGTACTTTATCACACTGTTGTGTAGCGTTTATCACTTAAACGAAAGTCTTTCGAGTGTGGCGATGTTTTGTGACTTCACCACATGTAGTTGCTGTGTATTCCAGTGGAAACGGATTCTAAGTGAGTAAAAATGCTTTCTGCAAATGCCAACGGGAGTGCTGAGTTACTATTTCCAGGTGGTGGCCCCGGCATTGTTTATAAGAGGCTAGGATCAGCAGTTAGGTATATGGATTCTCGATCTTATTGGGTATCCGGCATGTGAGAATGTGGTCTCCACGACGCCGTCAGTATTCGGAGGAGAACACACCAAGTAAACGAAGGCGCGTTTCATAGGTGAAACCGAGTAGTCCACGTATTGTTTTGGTGGCTGCACCAAGTGACGAATGTATCGTTTTAACCATGGATACCAGACCTGAACAGCATATCCAACGTGGGGACGAATATACGAGTTAATCAGTAAGGGTACTAGCCGTTCCTAAAAAGTGCCGTGAGCTAATCTCAAAAGTCTTAAGTTCAAGTTAGCCACATTTGCTGCTTCCGAATACGGGATCGAATTGCCAAGACTTTTTGTACGATGATGCCTAAGCCCCTTTCCCTGGTTATGTGTTGCTGCAAAAGATAGGTATTGGTGAAGCTGATACGCACCAGCAGCGGGGGCAGTTTTCAGGGTCCAGTGGGAGCTGGTTTATTTCTGCCAATTCGTTAATCCGGTACAGGCCGTTCCGGAGATAGGCATGGTCGGATGCTGACCGAACCGCTCTCCAGATCTAAGCAGCGTCTGCAAATATTTGCATCGGAAATGGAATGTTTGCTGGGAGCGCAATGATGTAGACTAAAAACAGTAGCGGTACGAGAACAGATAATTGCTGTACCACACACACACACACACACACACACACAAGCTTCCGTAGTGAGTGTTGGCTATTCTTATCATGATTGTTCTGTCGTGTAGGTAACTTTCAAACCAGGTGATCAAGAAACCGTTGATACTGTAGGTAGCAAGCCTTTGGAGGAGGATGAAGTGATTGACCCCGTCGAATGCCCTAGAAAAGCATAAGTAAATCACATTTATGGGGACTCCTTCATCAGCTGCCGTGGTCCATGAGTCCCCAGCAAGAAACAGATCGGTAAGATCGTCTGCGTCTGAAACCATGTCGGAGATTTGAAATGATTTGCAGACCTTCAATACATGACGTCAGTTCATCTGCGGTTACCGATTCCAACACTTTTGACAAAACAGGAAGGAGAGTAATAGGTCGGTAGTTGGCAGAGTCCGATAGCTTACCTCCTTCGTATATCGGAGTGATGATTCCATTTTTCCTCCCAAATGGGCGTGTATGGGAATCAAACGGACACTGGATGTAAGGTTGCAAGATGTGCTGCTATGTTGGGGGGAGGGGCTTTTGAGAAACTTTGGATATATCTTGCAGATGCCCGGAGCACTGTTTTCTCGGAGAGACTGTAGCTTGCTTACGACAGCTGCTGGCGTAAAGGTGACAATGGATAAGCCGGCTGACCCTCAACTTCCAGCCCGAACGTGTTTAGAGTAGTATGTCCCGTGGGGACCTCGGGTTTTGCCATGGTTCGGTCTCAACTGGTCGGTGTGCCTAATCCACCTCTCACGTCCAACCATCACCGCGTAGATAACTCTGCCCTTCCTGCCGATAACAATTCCGCTCGACCACCCTTTCAGTCTTTGAAAATCAGGGCGTAAACCACGTCACCGACATTGAAGTTACGGAGCCTGACTTTGAAATCTTCCTCAAGATGACTACTGTCGTGTTTTTCTATTCTCCTTGGTAAAAGATTATCGAACAACGTCCGGATCTTTCTTTCAAATAGTACTTCTGTGGGGGAGTTCCCATCAGGGGCATTTGGGTTCGGAGCGTTCCGATATATGCATAGGAAAGATCGAATTGCATCATGCGAAGCCCTTCTTTGTCCTGCTTTACAGAGTGCACTTTTGAATGTATCCATGAACCTTTCCGCATATCCGTTTGATTGCGGATGATATGGTGGTGAGAAGATCTGTTGAATTCCCTTTTCCTTGCACCACCCGCGGAGAGAAGTTGCGATGAATTGTGTTCCACTGTCTGTCACTAACATCCCTAGCAGGCCAAAATATCGGAACAGCTTCTCCAGCTCGTTGACAGTGTGCTGGACAGTCAAATTATTTACCGGAATCACATCAGGCCACTTGGTGAATGAGTCGACCAAAACGAGATAAGATTGGTCACTGATTGGACCTGCATAGTCTAGGTGTATTCGTTGCCACGGTTTCTCTGCTTTAGGCCAAGGTTGCCACTGACACTTGAGAGGGGCCTTCGCTACAAGTTGACAAGATTCCCACTGTTGGCAAAAATTTTCAATTTCCGAATCCAATTCTGGCCAGTAAACAAAACTGCGTGCCAAGGCTTTCATACGGCTGGTACCACGATGCCCCGAGTGGAACTGCTCCAATATTTGCCACTCGATCTTCAAACATCAGACAATTGTCCACGACTGACAGGTATCCATGTCGATTGTATAACAGCCGCAACTAATTAGGTATGCCTCCATTCGGCCAACATGTTCGTACACATTGCATCACGTTCTCCAAGATTCCGTCCCGTGATGTCTCCAAACGAATGATGTCGGCTATTACTGGTAGTCTTCGCACATTATCAGCCAAGATTCGTCGGACTTTTGATTCGAAACTGACAGCTGAAATCACACAATCATAGTTCTCCTTTGGGTGTAAAATGATGAGACGAGACAGGGCATCCGCTTGACCGATTAGTTGCGTAGGTTTATACTGTATACTGAAGTCGTAAGCCAGTAGTATGGTCGCTCATCGTTGCAATCGGTTTGCCGGAAAAACTGGAATACCTTTCTTTGACCCGACAGAAGTGGCTTGCGGTCAGTCAGGAGTGTAAAATGTCTGCCACATAACATCTTATGGAACCGTTTCATTGAGAAAACGATCGCGAGCGCTTCCTTCTCTATCTAGCTATAGTTCTTTTCAGCTGCCGTTAGTGACCGTGCTGCGTGCGCGATAGCCTTCTCTCCTCCAGGCAGAGAAACGTGGGAGATAACTACACCGACACCATAATTGGAAGCATCGGTAGCAACGACAATTTTGGAATTCGGATTGAAGTGAGCCAAGAGTAGATCAGAAGTGAGAGCTGCTTTGACTGCATCAAAAGACTGCTGACACTCTTCCGTC